ATTAGTATATTAGTATATCGCTATTAATCTACTTCGCGTTGAATTTTCATCGATGTTAAGCCTAACAAAAATTTTTTAAAATACTAATCGTCGCTATTGTATCGTTAAAAATTAGAAAATTAAGCCTCGTTTAAATACTGGCTCCCTTTCATGGTCGAATGAGTGTTGCCAGCTAAAACACGTAAAAATTATATTAAAGTAGCCAAGACATAGCCAAATATTGTAGCGCCACATCACTAGCGGACATTTGAAATTTGCCGACTAGGACGGTCGGTTAACCGAGGTGTCGGTTAATCGGGGGCCGGATAATCGAGGCTCTACTGTACTTTCTGTCAAAGCATTATCTGTAAGAAAATTATATTATTAAAGTTTACTATTATATTTGAAGAAGTGACATTAATTAAATTAGTTAATTAGCAAAATCTTCAAGACATTCAAAAATTCATTTATGACACTCAGACTATTCATCATCAGCTAATATTGGGTCTATAGATAAAGTATGTGGATGTTGCACTGAAGTGGAAGAATGAATCACAGGGGATTTGCTGCTCTTCTGGAAAAATTAAACTGGATGTTGTTTTTATTCCCCCTGAACCTCTTCTATCACTATTAAATAGGACTCATCCTGACACTAAACATTTTTTAAAGCGCAATAGGGCCTTCCAAATGACAAGTTTTGGTTCTACCGAAATACTTGAAAGAAATTTCATGCCAACATTCAAAATACAAGGACAGATATATCACTTAATAGCACACCATTAATCCCGACAAACTACCCATTCGAATGTAAACACCTATAATTTCGAGTTGGTCTATGCTTTGCAATGACCATTAACATGTCTCAAGGCCAAAGTTGTGGGACTTGACCTGGGATGCAGTTGCTTTTCACACGGCCAACTTTATGTTGCGTTCTCACGTGTTAGTAGCTGCAAATCTGTTCATTTGTGCTCCTGATGATAAAACACGAAATGTTATATATCTGGAGGTTATTCAATATGTTTATCTAGAAAACATTCCACACCTTTAATAGGAGTATAACGAATCTGTAACACAATTCTCTGCAGATATACTCTTTAGGTAAGTACAGTATATATAATTTCACCACATAAATATCTCCCGTCAACGACGGGTAACACAGCCAGTTATAATAGAAAATGAAAAACCTTTACAGATAATCTTGTTAACGGCTGTCTTTAATTTGTGAATACAATAATAAGTATTAATTTTAAAATAATATTAAACTTACAAGAAATTATGTTATGTATTATCACGTAATTGTAATAGCACATTTGAAGTATCAGATACATGCAGATCTTTTGTAGAATTCTTTCTTTTCATTATTAAAACAATATTATCCCAGATGTTAAGAAGCACGGGCAACAAAATAATGGCATGTAACGTAGAAAACAATATAACCAAAAATATAATCTTAAATATGTCCAAAAGTATACGATAAGATGAAAAGCTTACAGCAGAAATTCCTAAAACAGTCGAACCGGCAGCTTGAATAATAGGATGTCCTGCAATCCGTAAAGCTTCTTTCATTCTTTCTTCAGGTTTGTCTGCTTTACTACACATATAACTGCACGATATATGAGATACGTAATCCACACTAAACCCAGCAATGAGAATTAATACAAGTGTAAGAGCTGCATTCATATTTACACCCCACGCTGAAGAGTAGGTAATTGTTGATGTCACAATAGATACAATACTGAAACAAACACAAACTGCGCAATGCAAATTTGGAATAAATATAAGAAACACGATGATAACTGTTACACTACTCACACAAACGGATTGAATTAAGTAAGGTAAAACATTCACAAAGGAATCAGCAAACTGTAAATCGTAACAATAAATCATTGCATTTAAGCCGGAAGAATCCGTAACGTCATACAGATGTTGAAGAAGTTCACTTTGCATAGCAGAACTGTCAATAGTCCTCGAGTTGACAAAAAATCTAGAAGCAATTATGTTTTTCTTGTCTTCGTCGAATACGATATCTCTTTGGAAACGTTTGGCAAAATGAAATTTGAGAAATACATTATGAAGGGCTTCGACGAAATCTTCCGGATTGCTCATATTATATCCGCTGAGCGAGATCCAAGAAATCGGATCTTTAATAAACTTTACGTAAGTCCTCAGCCACGATTCAGTCAAATTATATCCACTCATATTGGGAGCATTTTCTAACTGAATCGTCAGATCTTCTAGTTGCTGTTGTGTTTTTGGGTTTGAGTAATCCAACGGTGTATTGATTACAACTTGTATTCTTTCTCTGTATTCGGAAAAGTATTGGTAATCGTCCTGGACAAAGTTGTAAGCGTAAGAATTTTTCTGGTAGAAATCAGAATATTTTAAATCGAGTTTTATGAACTTCATAAGATATATTCCAAATGAGATGTATATAATAAAACAGATTACAACAATGCATTTGATGATTTTGTAATTCAATATTCTACCTAATTCGTCGCTGTAAAAGTTCCATTTTTTGTCCTCTGAATTAGGTTGTTTTTGAGTTGAAAATCCTAGAGTTAAAATTCTTTTCAAACCTGCAAATAAAGAATTTCATGTTAATGCACTGTATATAAACTTTCTCGGTACTTATGCAGACATGGCAAGGGAAAGTATTAGAATCGTGTCAAATTTGACTCCGAATATTTTGCAAATCTGCATGTTTTGGGACTTTTTGAGCCAAACAAAAGAAAAAATGGGGGAAATCCAAGGATATGTACAATAGGTATGTATGTATGTGATGGGGGTGAGATGAAAAAACGAATTTTGGCACAGTAGCTTGTGTATAAGAAGCGGTGCTATTAAATTTTGGTAGTTAAAAATTGACGGTGTGGGGAGATAAATGGGTATCTCGAGTGGGATCGGACTTATTTAATATTTTACATGTTAGTATTTACAGCGTTTTTTTTTATAAACGTATTTTTACCCTGAAAATTAAATATTTTGCCATTTTATACGAATTAAAAAAATATACGAAGTTTTTATAACAAAATCTCATAACATACGATGCCACGCACAAACTTATTTACGATTAATAATATAAAAGTTATTTTTTTAAACAAAATCTGATCTCAGCGCGAAGTCACGCAACTCGTTGCTAGACATTTTATTATTATTTTTTAGTATTAAGAGAAAGTTGGTTAATGATTTTATAAATAAAAATTTCAGTAGCTTTTGTCAAATACATTTTCTGAATAAATTCATTAAAAATATTTTAAATATTCGGAGGTCGATTTCTCCGCTCCCCAAACATTCCAAATAATTCCAAATATCTCGTTCAAAATAAATTTGTTTTCTCAGGTAGTGTGCAAAACTTCAAGATTTTCTGTAATGCGGTTGACGAAATATAAGCAAATGAAAAGTGGAAAAATTGCCAAAAGCTGTATTTTCTTTTACTCCTTATTCATTTGGCACTGCAAATGCTTCTACTGGGTGTAGAAAACTCAAATTTTAAACTTAAGCCTTTCTCGTGATCAGTGAGATGCTGGCGAAACTTTCGGATGGATAGGTCAAAGTCCATAGGTTTTGTTTTATTACCGTGTTTCCCCGAAAATAAGACAGTGTCTTATATTAATTTTTGCTCTGAAAAACGCGCTAGGTCTTATTTTCAGGGAATGTCTTATATTTCGCAATTCAGCAAAACAAGTGCTAGGTCTTATTTTCTGCGAATGTCTTATTTTCGAGGAAACACGGTATTATTATTATTTATAATTTATAAAATATCTTATTCTATTTTTAAAGTAATTTTTATAAAAAAAAAAAGATACTACCTAACTTTTGATCCCATTTCACAGGTTTACAATATATAGCATGGAGATTTTTACTTTCTCTGTATCCACTAAATACCAGACATCCACCGAAAAGCGACAGTTGATACAAATAAGTAAATATAAAACTGACTGCTGTATATGTAAATATTACTTTAGCTATTCGATACGGAATTGTAAATCCGATTAACGATGCAGCGATATTAGTCAGTGTGGTTATTGTAATCGAAGTGGCAGATTCAGAATACGCATCACCTATTCGCTTCTTCATACGATCTTCTGGATTAGTTTTTCTCCAAGCTGATAGTATGACGAACGAATCGTCCAAACCTATTCCTATAAAAGAAATACATAATATTCAGAGAATTGTTATGGAATGTGTAATTTTTTCAATAGAAACGATAGCGTAATAAACAGACCTAAAACAAGTAAGGGAACTGCTACGTTAAAATCAATATACTCCATACCAAACAGTAGCAGAATACCAAAAGCAGCTACAGTACCAAGAATCGATGCTAAGTACGCAGCAATACCAATCCAAGGCTTACTTGTTACGCAGCTTCTAGTCATGCAAGTGAAAACGGAGAAAGAACACATAAAAATTTGCGATATGATTAAGATTGGAATATTATATATTGTTAATTTATTAAATTCTTCTTCATTAGTTTTTCCTGTAAACACGGAGAATTTAACATAATCCAGTTCTACTTCATTCAATAATTTCAGAAAATTTTCTTCCCACAACGTAGAAATTTCATTCGTGTGATTGCCGTTGTCAATGAAATATATCAAACGAATTGCTTTGAAGTCTTTCACTAGACTGTGTTTGTCTGTTGTGACACCACCCAATCCTATTGCATAAATCTGAACTTTCGACGATTTTGTACCGATATCCACCGGATACCTGCAAAATAACATTCTATTCGATAAAACAAAAAATTGTAATTAAACAGATATTAATTTCTTATTTCTGGTAAACTCTTTCAAATGCAACTTACTTTAACTTTTCCGTGCAATATTTTTATGCGTTAACTACCGCAGAAAACAAAAATTAAGACTTAAATCAGTGAAATATAGTATTTGGCTTAAGGGATCCAGAAAAGCATAATATAATGTAATTAAGTGTTAAATGTTGTTTGTTCCGGCCTCTTAGTATTTAAATCAGGGCTGTGGAGTCGGAGTCGGAGTCGGAGTCGTGGAGTTTCGGTGTTTTAGCCGGAGTCGGAGTCGGAGTCAGATGATAAGGAAAAGTCGGCGTCGGAGTTGGAGTCGGTAGATTTTTATGCGACTCCACAGCCCTGATTTAAACTAAAATTACTCGTGGGAACTGATTGTTTATTTGGTTTCGATGGATTCAGATTAGCCTGGCCAAACACTCAGCAAACCTAGCTTGAAAATTCAGAATAACAATGCTGATCGCTCACTATTAATTTTATCTAGTTAAATGCAAGTTACTTTACATAAATAATGACCAAGTTTCACTTCAATCACCTTATTCTTTAGCCGTTATTATAATTCTAACAGTGATGAATCTCACCTCGATTACAAACAGGCTCGAGTAGGCTACTCGATTATTTTTTATAAATAAATCGAACTTTGTATGACATTCATACCTTATTTTAAAGTTTCCTTTCTGAAATTCCGTGATTTTCGTCTTCAAATTTAATACGTCGTTTGCAATACACTGACCTTCAATTTTACAACAAATATCAGCAAATCTGTAACTTTTTCCCTGCAAGACAATACTCATATTACGTATTGTTTGATCCAGTATGTGTAATTCGTTAAAGATTTCATTTAATAACATAGATTCTCCCCTTTTTGCAGTTGCTATGACAGCTCCGTATTTTTCCATTTTCGTCAGGCGTAGAATATCATAATCTGTATAGTTTTGTGGATACAAAGTTTCGATAACTGACTTTGCTATTGTAATTCGACTATTTGTTCTCATGCATAGATATTCGACGTCTGTCGTCATCTTAAAACGAAATAATCCGAAGCACGAGAGGACAGTAACGATAACGGGAATAATTATGAACCTTAAGGGATGTTGTGCAACGTGGTATCCCAAATATCGAAAAGCCGTAGATAATTTTACATATAAGCAATTAATTTTTATAGTTTTGCATACTACCATAATGGAAGATGAAATCTTGTTTTACAAGCGAATTATTCAAACAATTATATCTGTAATATAAATATAAATTTTCATTATTATTCAAAATTTAAACATAGGTACAGTATACATATACATCGCAGCCACATACCGAAATTCAGCATTTCATGATGTACTGTATTTATAATTTCTTGAATCATTAGCACATCCCGTAATAGACATCATTTGTTTTATCATATGGCTACAATTTATATATGTTATCTTAAAATCTAATTGTACGAGTAGTTATAAACATCAAACTTTCAAAATGAAAAATTTGGTAGAAATACATCAGAGCGTCGATTATCCGAATCAATTGGGGACTGGGGTTGTTCGGAAGTTCGATGTTTCGGTTAACCGATTATATACGAAAAAATATATTAATTTATCCCATGTTGAAATTTTTCTCCGTTGCGTGTCGCTTCGCGTTGAATTTTCGTCGATTTTAAGCCTAACGAAGACTATTGTATCGTTAAAAATTATTTTTTTTATTTTGTACGAACAAAATAAATATATTGAAAAATATAAAAACAATAAAAAATTATACTTCAGAAGTTAATTTAATATCAGAAACGTAAAATATTTGAGTAGCCCAAGACATAGCCAAAGATTGCAGCGCCACAGAACTGGCGAAAATTTAAATTTGCCGACTGGAATTCTTTCGGATAATTGGCGTTTTGGATGATTGACTTTCGGATAATCGACGCTCTACTGTATTTAATTTTGAGAAATAGAAAATCGCAGAGGATAGAACAATTCAAGTTATACCTACCGTCCGTACGAAGCACAATAAACTGTATACTGTATTTTCAATATAACGGTTTCGTGATTGATGGACCGTTTGATTAAAACTCTACATTTCATTCATCTGTTTATATTCCACGTATATGAAAATTATAAATTATTCGTTGTGCAATTCGGTAGATTAGATTATCTTCTAGATAATGACAATTTAGCTGACTTCTTGCTATAAGTACATATATATATATATATATATATTGTAAATGTTTAACACATATTCGAATGTTTGAGCTTTGTTTATATAGGCCTTTCAGTTATTGTCAAATATTTTACTTATATTACGTTGGTAAGAGTAAATTTCATCTGATATTGAGCTGAAATTTTTAAATTTCAGACCTATATATTTTCTCTACAATTATTAAATGTTAATTACTCAACTGACACAATTAGTTCTTAGCACCGATGGTACCGGTATGTTTTGTAATACTAATAACTGTTTAAATTCTCTTTTATTATCAATGTTACACTATAAAACATTGATTCTATTTGACATTAAAAAAACTAATAATTTAAACAAATTAACAAAAAAACTTTAGATTAAACTGAAAAAGGTTAACACTTACGAACGTGAATATTCAAGCAGTCAACGTTTTCTGAGTGTTATACATTCGCATTAATTTAAAATTATGATTGGAGGCAACTGATTTACACACATTATATCCGAGGACAAAGTTCTTATTAATTATTGATAAGATACGTCATATGAAGAAAAAATCTCTGTATGATAAAACTCCGTGTATATACAGTCGACCCCCCCCTATAACACTGTTGATTATTCTGTTTTATATGAATTCCATGTTGTACGAGTCACTTAGATTTTATAAATACATGAGCCATTCACAGCCCAGCACACATGTTTATAAAATCTAAGTGACTCGTACAACATGGAATTCATATAATATGGAATTATCAACAGTGTTATAGGGGGGGTCGACTTGTATATATTTTTGTATTGATATGATATTTTATAAAATAACTGATACATTTAAAAGCATATAGTTAAAAAATTAAATTTTTTAAATTATAAAAACAGTTTATAGTTATTACTTTAATTAAACGATGAAAAATCTGGTGTAGAACGTAGTTTTTTTTCCGTACCCGTTTATGTGCAATCTTTTATCAGATTTGACCCCGAAGCAGTAGCTTTTCATTCACGGTCGATGACTCATTCGGTCCTAATCCGATCCGAAATTTCGTCCGTTACAGATTTTATTATGAAAGCTGAAAGAATTAAGCAAAAAAAGCATCCAAAGCTAAGTACAATGACAACCAGATAACACAGGAGGTTTTGGCGTCAACCTACTGCTCTAGTGGGACCCAGAATTGAATTTGGGTGTAAAAAGTTCTTAAAATTAAATTTCAAAATGTCATTGACTCATTCGACCGTCATCAAACGCCGTTTGACAACTTCTCCCACGGCAGACCTATGGTTGTCTCTGGTTAGGACTAACATGCAGTGTTTGGAATCTTAAATGCTGCGCCGAAAAAACAGTGTTATTTTATGCAAATTTTGTTTGTAGTATTATTTTCTATGTACTAAAAACCAGACATTCTTTACCAAATTTACCGGATTCGGAATGAAACTGGAAGTGTTGTACAGTACAGTACTACAGAAATGTGCATGCAGACAGAACGCGCGGACTTTTTAAACTCTTTTTGATAATGATTGTCAAAACATTATCAAAACGTTATCAAAAGATAAATATTAATTTCCATTAATATTTGAAATTTGCATATAAAGTAAAGGCACCGGTTTTGGATCAAGGACCAATTACGGATTAAAATGATTTACGTCATAATTTTTTTTTCAGTTAACAACATATCGTACAGGAGCGAGTAACTTTGAACCCTTTAGAGCTTTTATTCACGTTATAGCTGGATTGCAGTTGAAAGTGAACACGTGGCTTGGAGTTGATTTCTATTTAGCCAAAATTTGAAAAAAAATTAAAGAGAGTTCAATTCGAAATTGTTTTAAAATTATATTAATAAATATAATACTTCGAATTTATGTAGTTACTAGCTGTTACCCGCGACTTCGCCCGCGAGGATTTTGCAAGCAAACCCAATTTATATTCAGTATTTCAACAACCATAGTAATTTTTATATAACACCTACCGCTGAGAATGGTGAGAGTTGCCGAGAATCAAACAAACTATTTTCAATGTGATCAATTTTCTGGAACGTTTACAATCCTTCTATAATCGAACCGATACGCAATAACAGATTCGAATTTAAAACAATTCGAACATTTGGTTAAAATATCGAAACATATGAAAATATTTATAACAATGTCTGAAATGTTATCAATTTAAAAGAAAGTATGGAATCAATTTCAAAAGTTGTTCTTCAGGTTAAGCCTTAATGCTCTCTCTCTCCCCCCGCTTGGGAACATCGAAAAATCCCTTCTTAGTGTGCGTTTCCATGGCGTACCCTACTAAAACGCAGTTAAAAACAAAAAATCGCATCTAAAATAGTACATTAGAAGCCGTTTTTCCGGTTAAGCCTTAATGCTCTCTCTCTCCCCCACTTGAGAATTTCGAAAAATCTTATCTTAGTGTGGATTTCCATAGCATACCCTAATTGTGTACCAAATTTCACCACTTTAGGTTGAGCGGTTTGCTCTGGGCGATGATGAATCAGTGGCTAAGTCAGTCAGAACAAGTAATTTTATATATTTAGATAATAGTGTAAGATATGATTTATCTGATAAAATAACAAACTTCATATTCGTTCCCTTTGACTGTGTTTGTGGGGATTTTTCTCATCCACGTTTGCTCCTTGTGATAAGGCGTCGACACGAAAGCTTAGTTTTAAGGACTAAGCAAAACGGGAAAGAAATTTTAAGGAAATTTTCTCTTTTTTTAGATGGAAAAGATTTAGTTACAGCAAAGAAGCTCTTTAAGTGTCTGTAAATGCAGTTAAGAATGGTGGTCATAGTATTAGGGAAGGTAAATGAACATATTGTGTACTCTTCAATACAATACGAAGGAAAGTTAATGATTTCGTAGCTATAAACCGCATTGTATTTAAACACAAACTATTTACACTGTTCTTAGACCATGTACAGTTGAGAACGAACGAAAATCTGAAATTGTAAAAAGAAATCCACAATTAGTTCCTGGGGTTCAATTGTGGATAAAATGCCATAGTCCTTATAAATATTATAAAAATGAATGAAACAATTTTTTTTATCAAACCGAAGAGGTATAATGACAATTATAAAAATCTGATAAAGAAATAAATGCAAAAATGGTTATTATTTTCTTAATATACATGCTGATATACAGATTCATTCTTAGGTAGATCCAAAAGTGGTGCTTTTACCTTATACATCATAGCCAAATAGTGAAATTTGTTATTAACTGAAGTGCCTAGACATTTCTTGAAATACCAACACATCCCATAATAGACGTTCTATATAATTTTACATATGTATACAGAAAATCTGTTTACATATCTATACTATTAAATTATTATTATTATTATTATTGACATTATAGCCATCGTTATTTCTCCTGTTTACGTATAATACTCGTCTTGTTTGATGTAAGTTTATATTTCATGTGTATAAAAATCTTAAATTGTAAACATTTAAGATTAAAAACAAGGATTTAAGAAAGCGATATTAAAAATAATCGTTGAGATATTACATAGATTATTTTAAAGATAACGAAGTTTCCGTTTTAGACAGGTTTTACTATATTTACATAATTTAATACAAATAATTTTTGTTAAAAACAGTGTATAGAATTTTGGTCGTTATTTTATATATTTTATCTGTTTATATATATTCTTGAATTATTATAAACATTATCTTTATAACTTTAATTTTAATCAACTTATTTTAATTTAAAGCTAAATATGTATTTTATATCGGTTATTTGTTTTGTCTGATTGTTCATCAAACAATTGTTAGCTATCAGACGAGAGACACCCTTTGCACCCATGTGTGTGTGTGTGTGAATGCGACACCGGGATTGTTTATGTTTATCAAGCAACGTTGTAAAGAATTTAGCCTATTTTTCCGATATTTTCCTTCTAAATTTTTAGCAATATCGATTAAAAATAATTAAGAAAAACGAATTAGAAAAAAATTATTAATTAAATTGTTATAAATTATATAAAGAAAATCAATTTTGAGAAAAGAGGACCAACACAACCGGAGAGAGCCACACACGAGGATAGTGTTAAATGTGGAGGAAATAGACTCAAAAGGAATCGAAAAGAAGACAGAAGGTCTTTGAACAGAAGACAACTTACTCTTCTTCTGGTATGTTATGAGTCGCGAAGTTCGGATACCCCGCTGAGTACACCCGTTTTATTAATAGAAATAGGCTAAACTTACGAGGACAGACTATGTATTTAATATTAATTTAAAACTTAATTTTAATGTTATATTTAGATTATTTTTGTAATAAATTATCATTTTTATTCTTGAATTGGTTAAATTGATTTTGCATTCATCCCCTTGAGTTGCTCTTTTCTGGATTTCAGAACCTCCACACTTACGAATTAACTGTTGTTCTGAGTGATAAAAAGTATTCAATCAAAAACGAAATGATAAAAAAATTATAAAATAACAAATTTACGCATAATTTAAAAATAAAAAAAAACAAATTGAATAGATATAAAACATTTCTAAACAATACGAAAAACATTATAAAGGTATAATATAAAGTTTTACCCTAGGCATTATCATTTAGACGAAATTCTGCAAATAATGGATGCTCCTTAGTGTTAGTGAATGTAATTATTTTGATATTACAGAAGAATTTCCTATTGACGATTGTCTTTCTATAGATTACAGTAATTAATCTTTCCCTGTACGTACTTATAAAAGTATTTAATACTTATAAAATTAATTAATAAGTAATTAATACTTATAAAAGTATTAGGCTTCAAAAGCTATTATAGATGGCCAGATTTTCTCAAGACTGGATTTTCATTCTATTGGTCTCATTTGGTGGCAATTAAAAAAAAATGTAGACCTAGAAATCCCCACTATCGTCCGTCTGATCGTGTGTCTGTCTGTTTTCTGTCCTTTCTTAATCTCGAGAACGGAGATAGATGAAAGCCGAGACCAGGTATGGAAAGATTATGGGCAGGAAACCCCGATTAACTATATAAGAACTTACAATGCAAACTGGAAGTCACGTGAATTCAATTTAAATTTTTCTCTCGAAAGGAGTTAGATGGATGACCTGCACACCTCCGTTGCTAACGGAAAAGTGTGATGTACAGGGGCAAGACACGACAGTACTAACTTCAGGTAGAGTATAATATTTTAATGTGAATAAATTAAAATAGCAGCTCCGCATTGCGACGACGTCACAATAGACAATTGCTCATTTTTTAAAATTCTCCTTAAGCCAGCTTAGAAAATTAAAGTCCTCTTTACTCCATTTCATTTACACGACGAAAGACCACCCGTAATCCCTTTATGTGAAATACCCTTTTACACACGACCAGTTGGGTAATGAAATCGAAACCATATCATGTACTGCACAAGACTAATTGTTAGTCTCTTGCCCTATTCTTCTATTATTTATCGTCGTCCGTCGGAAAGACACCTGACGACTTCGAAGTTCTAGTTTCAGTCTTTAAGTTATAAATAACTATTTACCAAATATACAAGAATAGTCAGATACACAGAAGTCCAGTAGAGCGACAGTTATATGTCCGCTTGACTATCATTCTGGTCATCAAAACTCTTTCCTCACTCATGATTTTTCTTTTTTACTAGATCTCGTGTATTTGAAAGCTTTAGCCAATCCAGAGTTGAGCCATTAAGGACGGCCAATATAACATATTTTTGAACTAGTAACTTATATATTATAATAGTCTTATTGAACTAGGATGTGCAGATAAAAAGTTAGAGCGAGTTAAAGTATTAATATTTTTTGCAATAATGAGTAAAAGCTGTATCGTAACCAATGAACCATACGAAAACGAAACACTGCCTTGAGCAGCTTCCATATTCTGAAAGTACTGGATACACCGCTGAAGTACAAATATAATTGATATATTCTTAATGCATTATCTACCTTTCTGATAGAGTGATTCATCAATATTTATAGAGACCAGGTTAAAAACTCCTGAATCGAATCCGACGGACATCGCCGTGAAATTTTCACGAGTCCTTCCACCAGCACCTAATCATCAACCCATTGTTCACCTACCGAGCCCACGATGGATATGATTTAAAAAGTCTTCTTGGTACCCACAGAAACAATACAAATATGAGTAGAGATATTTAGATTATTAGCTTCTAAACAGCATTTTAAGGAATTCAACATAATATATCGCCCATATTTCTGTGTACTGTACATCAACATGTATTGCATACAATCTTAAATATTTCATTTAAAGTAACCAAAATGGGTATTTGCTTTCTCTGTTTTAAATTTTTTGATCAAATTTATCTTTGCATCCTATTTATTTTTTCTTTTTAGTCAAACAAGATCACTCAAATCAAACAAATCCTAAAACCATTTGTTGTCATCGATTACCACTTTATGTATCGGTATTAATGGAAAAATTATTCATTGGTTTTGTCATATTGTTAAGCTTAATAAGAATAAATAAATCGTAAGAATAAAAAATAAGCTAATTTGTTGTTGAAAACAAACAGGAAATGCATCTTCTTCACGATAGGATGGAGTAGGAGAAAATAAACACTTAATTGACAAAAAAATTGAGACGAATTTCTACACCTAACGCATTGGGAATAGACTCCTTAGATTCACTTAACATAAATGAGAATAAACAAGAGCAGATTAATGAGAAAGGTCGGAGCGGATTGTAAGTGATTTTCATTCAAAACTGCAAGATACAGAAAGCCTTTGATAAATCTGTTTATACAATTATCAGAGCAGTACTTACATATTCTTTAAATAAGTGTAAATATTATTTAAAATTTTATTAAACAATAAACTGTATTAAAATACAAAAATTGTTACAAAAATAATCAGAAAAAATTAATAAACATTTTTAAAAATACATAGACGAAACCTGAATTATGTGCACGGACAACATGGCATTCTGAGATTCGTTGGTCACATTTTCAAACTTTTCTGTGCTTAGAATAATCTACTTCTTGATGTTTTGAAATTTCCAAATGATCTAAATGAAATCTGCATTCAAATGTATCATTTCATTTTTCTGTAAGAAGTTTGCTTCTGTTCAAACAATTCATTATAATGAAGCCGATATAATTTTATTATATAAATATTGAAATAAGTGATTGAGGAAATTTATGATAATTATTTCATTCCTCAAGCACTTTTTATGTACAACTAAATAATTATTTTTTATTTTAACAATTCTTCATTCGTATTCGGAAGAGCTGAAAACTTTTTGTTAGAACGCTGCCTCTCATCACTTTTACATAATAATAAGAGGAAACTGTCCCACAATGACAGCATAACTGGAAGAATACACAACCCTTGAATTATGGAAGAAACAATGAATATGATAAATATTTTAAACATATCTTTGAAAAATTCATACGGAGCAAATATTAATGGAGCAACGCCCAAAAGTGATGAAAGACAACCTTGCACAATCGCGTGACCAACAGTATCCAAGCAATCTTGTAGTTTTTCATTCGGATTCTTTCCTTTACTCTTCGCATACGCGTACGATATATGAGCTGCATAATCCGTACAAAATCCGGTAATCACTATTAAAAAAATTGTCACTATTGGATGGAATGTAACATCCCATACAGACATATATCCTATAGTTATTACTTCGATACAAACTATTGTGAGCGCAATACAAAATGCACAAAAGAAATTCGGTATGAAAATAATAAATATTAAAATTACCACGCTAGAACTAACGGCTATTGATTGAGTTGTTGTAGGAACTTCCTCAAATATACAATCATAGAAAATATATCGATAATTGTAGCAATATACCAGAAGATTATATTTATCTATTATATTCCAGAGATTGATAAAAATTTCATTTTCTTTCAGCGAATTATCAACCAGTTTTGCTTGAATAAAAAATCTGGAAGCTAACATTTTAGTGCCATCTTCACTGAATACAATGTCCTTGTTGAAGCGTTTGGCCCATTTGAATTCAAGAAATACTCTGCATAAAGCATCGGTGAAGTCTTCGGGCCGACTCAAATTGTATCCTCTGAGAGAAATCCAAAGCTGTGAATCTTTAATGAATTTCAAATATAGTCTCAGCCACGAATCCGTGAAATTACTTCCGGCCATATGAGGAGAATTCTCCAGTTCTGTCGTTAATTTCTCTAGATTATTCTGAATGTTTGGATCGGAGTAATCCAGTGTCGAGGTAACAATTATTTGGATTCTATCGCGATATTGCGAATAGAATGTAGAGTCATCACGGAGGAAGTTTATCATATAAGAATTGTCTTTAAATGACCTAGTGATACCTGTAGAAGGCTGTATATATTTCGTAAAATAGATTCCTCCGGCCAGATACAAGAGAAAAAGAATAATAATAACTGCTTTTACAATTGGAACCGTTAGTATCTTTCCTAGATGGTTTTTGTAACAAGTAATTGTTGTGTTGTCTTCAATATCTTTGCTTGAATAACAGCCGTACTTTATAAATCCCAGATTACCTATTAGAAAAATATAAAAATAAGATAAAAGTTTTCATTTAGTTTTATTAACTTTAAAAATATGATTATTATCTATATATATAAATGAGAATGTTTGGTTTTTTGTTTGTTTGTTCGCTATATACTTCTATTCCGTTCAACCAATTGCTACGAAACACGGTAGTTACGTTCAAATCCTTCTAACTTAGATCTTAACGTACATCTTACTTTAAAATATTGATTATTATAAAAAAATATACATTATATTCACTTAATATCTGAGACAGATACACTTAGCACTTGCTTGTATGGAGTGTAGTGTTTTATCCCTGAACATCATACTTTTCCTGTCAGCAATAGAGTCGTTACGGCTATAGGTTATATCTAATTTCATTCAGAGAAAATTATCTTTTTTATTGAAGTAACGCGACTTGCGGTACACTTACTCTTACGAAACTCTTCCGTAAGATAACATTTGTAATTATAAATCAAATACTATAATATAATATAGAAGAAGGGTTCGAAGTACGAAATAATCTAATAAACTTAATCTTTGTTGATATTTTTTTTCCCGAGCAACGCCGGACTTATCTGCTACTTTAAATATATTTTATAATTTCATATTCATTAGTGTAATGGCTAATTATTTTTCTAAAGGTAGTCAAAAATATAAAGGCACTCTTAATATTAATTCTTTTTATTATAGAAGAAGCTTGTAATAAGGTTTTTTCTGTATTTACTAAGAATATTCTCAGAAAATTTTAAAAATAAAATAATATGTGTTTTATTCACAGTTCGAAAGCTGAATTGGAAAAAATCCGCTTTGAAGTTCGAACTGCGTAAACAGTAAAAAATGCGCTCGTGCGTAAAAGCAATGTGTTGTACTGTACGTCAATGTCGACTCTCGCTCTCGCTTTTACGTTAAGCTCGTATGTTTCAGTGCTCCTTTTCTCTCCTTTTGTTTCTGAAGAGATATTAATACTGGCAGACAAAGGATTTCACATTGAAAATAACTGATACAAAGCCAGGCTGCATATTCCAGCTTTTACTAAAAGAAGTAATTATCGAGAGATACCGTTGAGGGATTAAGACTATTGTTAAGAAAGCAAATAAGTGTAGAAAAAGACATTGGTAGAATAAAGGGATACAAAATACTTCAAACAAGATTACAAATATCATTACTGAAAGTATGATTTTCATACAAACGACAAATTTCTTGTAGTCGCGGCTGCTTTGTGCAATATTAGTAACCTAACTGAATAACAAAAAGACACTAAGTTGATAAATAAATTGAATTTTTGCCCTTAAAATATGTCTTTGAATAAAGATTTCATTATTTCAATTAGTTACAAACTGTAGTTGTTTCTTTGATTAAACACTATTTTTTTATTTTTTAGTATTTTTATAACAAAAAGAATTGGTTTATCTTAATTCAAATACATCAACTAATTTCGAAGTTCTAAAAGTTTTGAAAGTGATTCACAATAATTTTAGTAAACGTTATAACAATAAACACCATTGTTTATACGAAACTGGCTATTTAACAATTAACTTTATTATGTTACCTGATGGTCGTTCATCCAGTTTAACAGGAACGAAGAGTCTTGCGTGCAAGTTCTTGGCTTCTCTATAACCATCCAGTGCAAGAAGTCCGCCGAAGAATGTAACCTGATAGATGTAATCTATGAAAATACTCAAAGCCATGTAAATTCCAACTATATGCAGAATTCTGAACGGAGTAGTTAATGCAATTAACGAACACGCAACGTTCGTCAAAGATGTTATGGTAATCGATACGGTAGCCTCGGAATACGTTTCACTCATTCTTTTTTCAACAGAATCTTTGGGGTTGGTTTTTCTCCATGCAGCTAACAGAACAAATGAGTCATCCAGTCCGATACCTGTAGAATACATTCAACCAATTGTGAGTTTATATTGAATAACATATTTATTTAAAATGTATTTTATATACCAACCTACAACTATAAACGGAACAATTATATTTCCTTCGGCATATTTGATGCCGCACAGCAGTAAAACACCAAAAGCAGTTATACTCATCCTTTTTTCAACTGAATCTTTAGGATTGGTTTTTCTCCAAGCAGCTAACAGAACAAATGAGTCATCCAGTCCGATACCTGTAGAATACATTCAACCAATTGTGAGTTTATATTGAATAACATATTTATTTAAAATGTATTTTATATACCAACCTACAACTATAAACGGAACAATTATATTTCCTTCGGCATATTTGATGCCGCACAGCAGTAAAACACCAAAAGCAGTTACCACAGCAAAGAAAGATGAGATACATCCGGAAACACCAATTAGTGGTTTACTCGTCACCCAATCCTTCGTCAGACAAGTTACACTTGCAAATATTGCCATACATATTCCACTAATAATCATATGCCATACAATATTTACGAATATATTATTAATTTCATTATCGATACTAATTCCACTCATTTTTGATACGCGTATGTAATTGAAGGAATTTTCAGCAAGTGTTTTTAGAAATTCTTCTTCCCATTTAACAGCAATTTCCTGTTTGTTGGAATTATAGTAATCGACGAAATAGAATAAACGAACTGCTTGAAAATCTGTTATAAAACTGTTTTCGTCGGTTGAAATCCCTCCTAAATTGATAGCGTCTATATTAATGTGCGATGAATTTATCTCCATCGGATACCTGGTTTAAAAAGAAATAGGGATGTTGAATCTGTTAATCTATGCATGTAGATGTATCCTGGTGAAAAATATGTTCTTTTATTGATATTATAATATCGCGTCATCGCTGGAGAACTCGCAAAGTAACAAGACCATGTACAGTACAGTACAATAATTGTACATGGTCTTGATTATTTGCAAGTTCTTTAGCAATGACGAAACGTAAATTACCAACAGATGGGATCCTTCTGCATTTCTTTTTTGCCCTACCATCTAATAACAGCGTACTTCAACTAAATCCCCCCGAGATGGATGAGGAACGTTGCAAAGGAGAATAACGCACTGATGGCATGGTTTTCCAGATCTCCCGATTTGACTCACTGAGATTTCTTATCGTAGGGTTACATAAAATATGGTGTCTACGTATCGTCATTACCAGTCAAAGAAAAAGAGATATTAACGGGTACTGTGTATCCGTTATTATTAAATATGTAACTTATTTTCAAAAATGAGTGTTGCAATGAACCTTCATTTTAGCTGGCAGCTTTCCTGTCATGAGCATAGCACAGCTTTATATTTCCAAGTATCTGAGCCGAGATTTACTGAACCAAATTCTATATATGAAAGTGGCTTGATATAGCTTCATGGTGAATTTCAAATTAAGGGGCTTCAGGAAAAGTATAGTGTTGACTTCAGACATTTTTCTTTGTAAGAATTTTTCTGCGTGAAATATTTTCTTATAAAAGATTGGTTTATAAGGATTAATTAATATCAATTACATAAGGCCCCCATCAGCAGGCGACCATGGGCAATTGTTCTTTTAGCCAGAGGCTAACGTGCCCGTGATGATCTGTAACATTTTAATTTTCGACAGCTCCATCATAGCACCTGATTAATGTTAAGTGTCATTGGAACGTTTTTGAAATGTTAGTTATTATTAATGAAAACTCTAAATATGTCAATTAGAGTCTGCTTGATTTTTCCTATAACAGACCATATCCTACAACAAGCCTCTATAAAATGGGGACATGCAATCGGAACTTACTTTCTAGACGAGTGACGAATAAAATAATTTATTTAATAAATAACGATTGCAATCGGGGGAGCCCTCTAGTATTAATTCATATATATTTGCATAAATAAATTATGAAACTGGAATATTAAAACAGTAACATAACAAAAAATAGAAAAATATAGCAATAATACTTACTTAATTTTCAGCTTTTTTCTTCCGACATCTTCAAATTTCCTATTTAAAGACAATATATTATTTCCATAACACTCTCCTTCCGATCTCATACAAATATCGGAATACGTTATATTTTGTCTTTTCCATTGTATTTTTATGTCGAGAATCTTTTCGTTTAGCATTTGTAATTCATCAAATATATATTCACGCATCATTGTTCCTCCATCTTTACACGTCGCTATAATCATATTCGCTCCGTAATATCCTATCATTCGTGAAAAATCAATATCTGTATTATTTTCCGGAAATAACTTCTCAATTTCTGTTCTGACTTTCAAAGTTTTTCCTGTTGACGGAACAACTAAATATTCCGTATCTTTAACAACTTGTAACTTAAATAAACCCAAAGCGGCTAGAGCAGTGAATACAAATGGTATTATTACAAAATACAATGGATGACGTCCAATCAGCCGTCCAAGGTGACGGAAACTTGAAGATAAATAGCGATTAATTGCATAAAATTTATCTTTGTCACACTGCATGTTCAATGATGTTGGTCTGAACAGTTACTCTCAATTTTTATCGCTTTTCTGTATTTATATATACATTAGTAATATTTCAGTTCAAATTTCTACAAGATTGATTGGTTATTTGAAGACTTGACATTCGAGGACGATTCTGAAGAATTTCAATAATCAATTAGGAAAAAGGAAATTGGCTACAATTAACCTAAATATATACAAAAACTATTATTACTTTTGTGACTAATTAAATTAAAGAATGTTTAAATTTGACGTATGAAATATTTATATAATAACTACTAAAAACTAATCATCATCTAGTTATTTAAGCATTAGTAACGTAAATTACGTAATTACGTATACTTTAACGTAATTTTTACGTTATTATATTTATAAGTTAACGATTTTATTATTTTATCTTGACTACAATTAGAAAGTGAATGTAAGGATAGTTTTCAAGATTTTATTTACATCCTGACAAAACTATTGTTTAGCTTTTACCGACATTGAATTTTGACAAGGTAAAAGAAAAAATATGATTTGTCTATGAGGAAATAGATACTAATCTATTTCCTCATAAACAAATCATATTTTTTTATGGCTTTTTATGGCTTTTATCATTATTTTTTTATAGCTTTTATGGTATTAAAAAATCAATTGACATTAACGTACAGGTGTAATGGCAAGCACAGGATGTCCCAAAAGTTGGTAGACATTAAAAAGATCACTTAAAATCATCAGATTGGAGTATTACAGTGGTGCTTTTACCAAGAGACTAGTCATAGAAAAAAATTGTTTATGGCATAAGAAACGTTTTTAGTTAAAATTTTCATCACTAGAGAGAGAACTACCTAAAGTCTCGAGTGTACTGTATACTAGGAGCCCAGATTTCTTCACTCATTTATAAGATGCTATTCGCAGTAACGTCACTGACATAGACCCTAGTATATTACATGAATTTGTGATTGATTTTATAACTGGCTTGCTAAATGGATGTGGTAGAGGGCACATTGAACAACTGCTGTTGTAGAATGTTCACGAATGGAAATGAATAAATGCTATACCATTTTGATTTTTCCCCATACCGGTCTGATTGTGTGATGATAATAAAGCAGGTGTACCGCTGAAAATTTAAAACAAAATTTGATTTCTTATGCCACAAAAAATTCCCCTCAAAGACAAGACATTTGGTGTACTGTACATTCCAAATACTCCAATTTGTTCATTTTATATTAGTTTTTAAATGCCTACGAAAATTTTCGATAATACAATTGTCTATTATATTCGTCTACATGATAATATTGCGTAAGTTATTCTATAAATACAGTACTATTAATAGCTAATAAAATAAACCCGTACATTTTACCTAAGTACAGGAGAGTGCTTTGTAAAATATTCCAAATTAATAGAAAAATATTAAATTTGTTTTTGAATTTGATAAATTTCATTTGTGTGTTTATAGACAAGTTTCTTATATAAAAATAAAGTGTATATGTATATTTAATATTTATTTGATTCTATTCATAAAGCTCAGATGTTACCTTGAAATATAAAATTTTTCTCTTCATGCGATAGCTTGAACGATTGAATAAATTTCTATTATTTTTAAGTAAAATTAATTTAAAAAATATATTTTAAAAAACACTTCTATTGCTACCTATTATAACTTTAAATTTTATTATCAGAGTAACAATTACAGTAGACCCCCTATAACACTGTTGATAATTCCGTGTTATATGAATTCCATGTTGTACGAGTAACATAGATTTTATAAATACGTGAGCCGTTCACAGCCCGGCACACGTATTTGTAAAATCTAAGTGACTCGTACAACATGGAATTCATATAAAATGGAAAAATCTACAGTGTTATAGGGGAATCTACTGTAATTTCTTAATTGTTAGACACGTAAAAAACGATAAATATAAGCGACACTCTCAATTTTTTTTAACGCAAACCCGATCCTAACTACCAATGCTCAGAGGTTTTATTCACTCGATGAGCAACCGCCAGAAAGGAAAGACTAAAAAATAATAAGGAAAAATTTATAATTACTTACCTTGTATTCACTTATGCTGGAAATTTTAAGTTGTTTCCATTAAGCAGCAAATTTTCTAAATGAAATGGAAGCCACTATAGAATCGAAACGTTTCTCTACGGGATAGAGCTTATTAATAAAATAGTACTGATCATACACTGATTTATTTTTAGCTTTAAACAATGGGACATTTATTATTATTCTTGTTTTTTTTGAAATTTTACCTTTGTACATATAAATGAAATTTCACGTTACGCAAGGTTATGCCTAAAGTAGTCAAACAACATAATAATAGATCTAATTATAATTTATTTTATATTTTATAAAAATTTTTGGAGATAAAGCGTCAAGTTGCTATCAAACTTCTTTCATTAAATTTGATTTTTTCATAAAATTGCAAAGTGTTTCTTCATTTTATAACAATTATAAATAAATAAATAATTTATTAAAATATCTCATGATAGATGCCATCATACAATAAATAGCCGGGTGACCCTTCACCAGATTAAAAACAAGAACACTCTTCTCCCAATTATTAATGACATTCTTGGGCTTCTTCAAAAGCTGCAACGTTCAAAGGATATTAACTTCTGTTGGGTGAAGAGCCACTCCGGTTGTCCTGGGAATAAACGGGCAGACCAGCTTGCTAAGGTAGCCCCTTCGAGGCTTACTGACATCTCCTTCTCCTCTATCCCTGTGTCATGGGTTTCCAGTGCCCTGAAGGTTTATGTCAACAGCAAATGGCAAAGTTAGTGGGACACTTCTGACTCAGGTAGGTGGACAAGCTCATTCCCAGGGTGGACAGACCGAATTCTACACACTTCAACCCTAACTTCTACATGACACAATTCATGACCGGGCACGGAAACTTCAACTACTACCTTGCAAGATTTTTAAAGAAATGTGACGGAAAATGTAGCAGCTGCCCACTGGAGGATGAGACCCCTGAGCATCTCCTCTACCATTGCGAGGGCACTGAGGAAGAAAGGATGGAACTTATATCCACCATCCTAAAAAACAACGACACTTGGCTTGGAACCCGAGCGTCCTCATCAGTCATAATCTCTATTACAAAGTCTTTGAAAACTTTGTGACAAGGCTCATCTCCAGCAGATCGACTCATCATTATGTGGACTCTACCAATACGGACTATCTTAGCTGTGATATTTTGTCGCTGGTAGGGGCCCTACAGGCCTCCCTTCCTTTTGTCGTTTAGCTGTGTAAAACTACGCTGTGTATAACCACACTGTGTGGTTCGTTATCTTTTGTATATATTTTGTCGTGCAATCTCATGTACACTTTTTCACCAATTTTGTGCTTACTGACATCTCCTTCTCCTCTATCATGGGTTTCCAGATGACGACTCTTATTGGGCCCCTTTATATCTATTGCCTTTACGTTCAGCAATTGAGGCCCAGCAACGGCGCACATGTAATCTTCATCCTTCCTCTTTCTCTTTCCCGTCTTCTCCTACCCGTTTTCAACCCCCTTACCTCTTTCTTTCCCTTTCTTCGCACGCTATGCCTTTCTGTGCGGCCTGGATCTATCAACTATCTATATACTAAAATAATAATGTTTCATTTTATTTCGATTTTAACGCCACAATGTTAGGCTGAAATAACCAAACTCTTTATATAATTTTTGTTTTAATATTTCTTATATTATTTGATTTATGTAACTACAACTGTTTAAATTCTCTATGGTTATCGCTGTTAAACTATAAAAGGAGAACATTGACTGTATTTGACGTTAAAAGAGCTGATAATTTAAACAAATCAATAAACAACTGCAGATTAAACAGAAAAATGTTAACACTTACGAACGTGAAATTCAAGCAGTCAACGTATTCTGAGTATTATGCATTGGTAGTAATTTAAAATTATGACTGGAACCAACAGATTTACACACGTTTTATCGCAGAACAAAGTTTATATTAATTATAGATAAGATACGTCATATGAAGAAAAAAAATCTGTATGATAAAACTCGGTATATAGCTTATATAATTTGTTTTGATATAGTTTATAAGATAACTGATATGTTTAGGAGCATATAATTAAACAATTAATGAATCGATTTGGAATTTTTGAAATATTGTGCTATGTAATTAATAAAATCAGTTTTTAATTAATACTTTAATTAAATAATTAAAAGTGTAAAACGTGGTGATTTATTACTAATTTAAAAAAATGAATTACGAATCGAGCGAACTGATAAACAATTTTATATGAAGGAGAAAACTAGCGCAAACAGAAAAAGTTAGAATAATATAAAAATATTAATGACCAAAATTCAATAAATATGTGACGTTAAATTATATTTCTAGAATATATATATATGCTTCGAGTTCTAATTACTATTTATAAACTGAATAAATATTTAGTTAAACATTACGCGGTAGTTTTGTTTGTTAATCGACTCGGGCCATCAGTGATGTTCACAATGAGCTACAATTTAACGTATACTTGTTTATACTGGCATTTGTAAAATTTCAATATAAGGACACTGTTTTACCATTTTCACTAACGTTTTCTTATTCACTCCTATCTCGTGTATGGTAACACCCACTGACCGCATTGACAGGATTGTACATCTGAGGCTTCTTTGTGTGCGTAAAACATTATAAGAATGCAAATTAAAGTAAGCACCGACTCGCGATTCAGATGGCCGGTTTTAATTTCTTCGATTAAACAGCTAAATAATTGCTGCTCTCGGGCTCACTGGGGCTATACCAATTCCTGTATTTACGCGATGAATTTTTACACGACTATGAAGTAAAACTAGATTTATAAAGTTATAAACGGAAAAATAAAATCCATATTACTTTAATAAATTAGATCTAAATAGCTTTTTGGTCCGTATAATTATTTCACAAATATTTCTGATCTTTGGGCTTAAAAAGGTTGAGAAATTGAAGTATAACACAAGGAAATTGTTGCGATCGGTCACACTTTTATTTGTCTTTTTTTCATTTTTCGACGTT